GGGGAACAACCGCCCCTTCCGCCGTACCAGATGACTCCCGCCCAGACCTTCCCATAGGGGGCAGACTAGCAGGGTTTGCTCCCCAGTGGGAAGAGACCACCACGGACGTATGGGTCAGGAACACCATACGTCATGGTCTATCTCTAGAATTTCTCTCAAAGCCCCCGAACCGCTTCCGCCCGTGCCCCTGTCCCACAAACCCAACAAAGAGAAGGCTCATGAACGAGGCCGTTCAGCACCTTCTAAACATACGGGCCGTAGAGCCGGTGCCTATGAACCAGAGAGACCAGGGGTTTTATTCTATCCTCTTCGTGGTCCCAAAACCCTCGGGGGGTTGGAGAGCCGTTTTGGATTTGAAAAGGCTAAATTTCTACATAAAATACCGCAAATTCAAAATGCAGACACTACGCTCCATCCTTGGAAGCGTAAGGAAAGGGGATTTTCTGGCATCGATCGACCTCACGGAGGCATACTTGCACATCCCTATCTCTCTGGCTCACCGCCGCTTTCTACGGTTTGCCTACAGGGGGCACCATTTTCAATACAGGGCACTTCCATTCGGCCTGTCATCAGCGCCCAGGGTGTTCACCAAGATTCTGGCGGTTCTGGCAGCACAACTAAGAAACGTACCAGTCAGAGTCCAGTGCTACCTGGACGATATTCTAATCCAGTCATCGTCCGCCCAGCAGTCTCGGGCGGACCTAAAGTTAGTGATAAAAATGCTGCAGGACCACGGCTTCTCGGTGAACTTTCCAAAGAGCCATCTAACCCCAACTACGAGAATACTCCACCTGGGAGCGGTCATAGACACAAAGGAATGCAAGGTGTACCTATCACAGGAACGCCTCAGCAGCATAAAGAAAGCCGTAAAACAGGTAAGCCGCGGTCAGTCAGTGACGCTGGTCTGTCTTTCCCAGCTGCTAGGGAAGATGATATCGACCATAGCAATAGTTCCTTGGGCAAGGCTGCACTCAAGAGAACTGCAATGGTTCATGCTCCCGTTTCAGAGACAACAAATCAGTGCATCCCGGAAGAGGGTAGGCATACCTCCGAGAGTACGACACTCCCTCAGGTGGTGGCTATCTCCAGCTCTCCTCAGGGGGTCCCCCTTCAGGGAACCAGACAGAGTAGTAGTCACAACAGATGCGAGCTTATTCGGCTGGGGAGGCCACTTGGGGACCAAGTGGACACAGGGCCGCTGGTCAGCGGTGGATCTCCGACACAACATAAACTGGCTCGAGCTGCGGGCTATTCACCTAGCGTTAAGGCATTTTCACAGCAGCATAAAAGGCAGGCATGTACTGGTCCTGACGGACAACGTGACAGCCAAGGCCCACATAAACCGTCAGGGGGGCACACACTCTCGCTCGCTCTCGGCCGAGGCCCTCCTACTGGGGGCCTGGGCGGAACAAAATCTGGCCTCCATAAAGGCCGACCACATATCGGGGGAGGCAAACATCCAAGCAGATCTGTTGAGCAGATCAACAATAGATCACTCGGAGTGGCAACTACACCCGAGGATCTTCAGGGAGGTCTGTCACCGCTTCGGGCTTCCCCAGGTGGACCTTTTTGCCTCTCCTTCCAATGCCCACCTAACTCGCTTCTTCTCCCGATTCCCATCCAAGGGAGCAGAGCAGACGGACGCGTTACGGAGCCCATGGCCAAGGGGGCTCCTGTACGCGTTTCCACCCTTACCTCTCCTTCCGGCGGTAGTACGCAAGATTCTGCGGGAAAGGGCCGAGGTAATCCTTGTGGCCCCTTATTGGCCAAGGAGACCTTGGTTCGCAGACTTGAGGAGTCTCTCCCGCACGAATCCATGGCGGATTCCTCCGGAGAGGATCTCCCTCAAGCAGGGGGAGATCTCCCACCCAGAGCCACAATGGCTACAACTAGCCGTCTGGCTCTTGAACGGTCAATTTTAGCCAAGGGGGCTTGCTCACAGGGTGTAATTAGGGTCATACAGGCATCAAGGCGCCCCTCCACGAACCGTATCTACGAGGCCACGTGGAGAAGCTTCCAATCATGGTGCTCTAAACAGGAATTGTTACTCGAAGGGATCACAATTCCCAAGATCCTAGAATTTTTACTAGATGGCCTAGAGAGGGACCTCTCGCCAAACACACTGCGCAGGCAAATCGCCGCCCTCTCAACTATACTTTCTGCCAGCCCCGGTGAATCCTTGGGCAAGCATCCCTTAATACGATCCTTCCTCAAGGGGGCTGCAAACATCAGACCGCCAACCGTGCACAGGTATCCATCATGGGAACTACCACGAGTACTACAAGCTCTTACCAGAGCGCCCTTCGAACCACTCAAAACATGTGACATTCGCTATCTGACCCATAAGGTAGCATTCTTGGTAGCCATCACGTCAGCTCGGCGGATATCCGAGTTAGCTTCTCTCTCAATGAGGAAGGACCTGTGCCATTTTCACAGGGACAAGGTAGTCCTAAGAATAGACCCTTCATTCATTCCAAAGGTCAACTCCCTTTTTCACAGATCACAGGAAATAGTCCTACCAGACTTCTGTCCAAACCCAGCTCATCCCCTGGAACAACAATGGCACACCTTGGACGTACGCAGGGCACTAAGACATTACATTTCACGCACAGCGGAATTCCGACGCTCGGAAGCGCTTTTCATATCCTTCCACCCTGCTACTAGGGGCCGGAAGGTCTCGTCCTCTACCATCGGTAGGTGGATTAGGGCATGCATCACGGGGGCATACCAGGCGGAGTCCTTGCAAGTCCCCAAGCATATCACAGCCCATTCCACAAGGAGTGCTGCCACCTCAGCAGCATGGGCCATGCAGGCTTCTATTGAAGAGGTATGCAGGGCAGCCACTTGGGCCTCGCCCTCTCCATTCATTCGTCATTACAAAATCGACAGGTACTCCTCTGCAGAGGCCTCCTTCGGTAGGAGGGTTCTCCAGCAGGTGCTAGACCAAAGTTGCACACGGGACCAGTCTATTCCCCAACCCAAGGGACAATAGGCTTTGGTATGTCCCACTGCGTGGATTATCCATCTCCAGTGCTGGAGAAGGGGCGTTGACTTACCTGAACGCCTTTTCTCAGCACGGAGATGGATAATCCACACCCACCCTTATAGACTAGAATAATAGGGTATATTTAGTGGAGCCAAAACGTCTTACTGTCAGTCAATGGCTGCGCTCGAGTCAAGACTAAAGGATCATGGTCCATGACGGGGCGTGGCAACTTTGGCTGACTGATCTGATTGGCCAGGAATACAGTCTCAACCCACTGCGTGGATTATCCATCTCCGTGCTGAGAAAAGGCGTTCAGGTAAGTCAACGCCCCATTCCTCCTCCCACCAAAGTCATAATGTCCATTTGAAATCTAGACAATCTTCTGGTGGCACGAAGTCTGGCTGGCTGGTACAGTTGGCACGCATCTCAAGGTCTTCTCCAGCTTTCCTTTCTCTGTAACTGTCTCCCTGACATTCCTTTCTCAAGGGGATGGAGGCAGGAGAGGGAAAGTAAAAAGCGAAAGTTATCCCAAGCAATAGCATGCTCCCCCTTCCCCCAGCAGAATGGCAGGCCCCAAAAGTAGAATAACTATGCAAGAGAAACGAGGGTTTGGGGACCTGCATCCTCCATGCTGTATCTTGTCATATTTTTCAAACTTAATTCTCTTTATAATGATCATTATGTACAATGCACATATTCCCAACCCTTTTGTATCTCCCCCAGTCCATGCTGGAAAGCTAATACACAAAACTATTGGATATCACTTACTTATGGTAAATTTTGGGTCTAGAGAAGAAAGGCTTGCTTGGAAATGATGTCTGCTCCCTCTCTTAGCACTTCAGAAAAACTGAACTCCATAACATTAAAGAGACAGCTGAGAAGTAACTTAACAGAATACATAAGACTTAACATGAGGTCTTACTTGTTAAGAAGTTTACAGAGGGTTGCCCTTGATTCTAAGAAAATCTTGTCCAGTGTTATAAAAACAGAAGTGATACTACTGATAAGATTACAAAACAATATCAGATTTTGGAACTCCGTATATGGAAAGGGACCCATTCACCACTGCCAGCTCAAAGCCACCAGCTCACCACTGCCAACTCGCTGCTTCCAAGTCACTGCAAGAGAACTTCACACAGCAAATTCATTGCAAGCAGCTGAAAGGATAGCCAGGTGGGCAGATGAGTGAGCTAGTGGGCAGAGCTGAGTGTGTGGTGGTGAAGAGAAGGTGGCAGCCGGGGGCTTCCCATTTTTACACTCCCCACCACTGCCTCACTGGGGTTGAAGCCTCTGCTGCCGTGGCAGGCTTGGAACCGCTGCCACTGCCATTGCTCCAAGCCCAGTATGGTGGCAGCAGCAGCAGCAGCAGCTCCAAGTGGCAGGTCCGAGCCCAATGTGGCAGCAGCAGGGAATGTGAAAATGGGAAGACTCAGCTGCTGCCACCTCCTGGCCACCCGCCCTGACTGCCACTGCTATCCCCAGCATCTTCCACTCAGAGCCTATCGCAGCGGCAGTGGCAGGAAGGGATTTGAAAATGCAAAACCTCCAGCCGCTGTGCTATGTGCTCTGCCCACCTGCTTGCTCATCCACCTGCCCAGCTCTTCCTCCAGCCACCTGTTGTGAGTTGTCCCTGTGGCGAGTTGTCCATGTGGAGTTGTACTGTGGCAACTTGGTGGGAGTGAATTGGCAGAGGTAAGCTGGTGGTGGCAAGCTAGCCATGGCAAGCTTATTGCAGCAAGTTGTTCTTTTACTAGTCAAAGATAAATTGATAAGGAAATAGTAATAAGTAATTAGATTACTCTGGTTTATCAAATAAATGAGATAGAAAGAATTACTACTTATAGAATCATAGGGCTGGAAGAAATCTTGGAGGTCTTCTAGTCCAACCCCCTGCCCAAGGCAGGAGACTTTATACTATTCTGGACAAATCTTTTATTGAAAACCTTCAGCAATGGTTACAGTTTCTCTTACTTGCTAAACCAGATTAGATCCCTCCAGATCTTAAGTTCTATACCTTTGTTTAGAACACTGTAGACTTGGCCTTCACTTATATTATTTTCACTAAAGGCATCCACATCAGAGCAGACCTCTGGGCCATCAGAGAGGAAGGAGATGTTGCTATGAGAGCAGGGTGACTCAGAGATAATATGGCTACTGGAAGGGGTCACTGAGCGCCCTTGCAGTTTTGCTTGGAGAATCTTGATGGATTGTTCTTTCTGGAGCTCCTTGTTTATCCTGAGGAAAGGCAAACCTTGAAGATTACCAAAGATATTGATACAGCCCTCTTTTTCAGTTTCAGTTTCAGTTTCAGAATATGTACTTCCCCCCTCTCTGATTCTGTGATTTTTGCACTCTGATCAGCCAGTAAACTCTCACAGTCTGTAAGTGAGCTAAATAATCCCATGAGAATATTAGGGTTCATTGCACAGTCAGCAAGATATTCAGACTGGTTTTGGCATTTTTGTCCACCTATCAAATTATTCCCAAGGACGTGGGATAGGCAAATGTGGATATTTGATGGTGTATGTAGGATTATTATTACTGTTATTATTGTTTATTATTATTATTATTATTATTGTTGTTGTTGTTGTTTTTGCTATAAAGGATTTTATACTTGTATGGAATAGATTACAGCATGAGGAATTCAATAAATTGAGGTGCCCTATATTCAATGAAGAAAGATAACTGTTAATTTGGGAGTTTTTCTTGAGGCAAACAACTTGGCCAAAAGGATAATAAATAAATAAATAATAAATAAATAAAATAGATACAAATGAATACTTATCAAGTGGCAAACTATATAGTTTCATGGACTTCGTACAAACTATACAGAAAAATGAATGAAGGTAATTTGGATAATTCCAAAATAAGCCCGTATTTAGCAATCCATAATAATTACCTCATAAGCAATTCATGACTTGTTTTATCCTCCATGTTTAGATCATTCCCTAAAAACAGAATTTTAAAAAAAGTTAGTAATTGTACAGCTTCTCCATCACGGGACCTTACTGATCACTTGGTATGCAACTCAGCCTCCCCATATGCTTCTTTTAGTGCAAAATTAAAAACAGAGAAACATGGAGCTTACAGAATAAAAAAGATTCCATTCCAATGTTTCCAACTAGCTTCCTTGTTAATTTTTAAGCTTCTCATATATTGTGCCCATGATTCTATAGTTTTCTCCATAATCTATGTTGGACATACTATGACCTTATAAAGCCTAATTGACCTATGGTTCCATTAGCTGCTTTGGACATGCACTTGTTAGACTTAACCTAATGAAATAATGGGATAAGTAACTCCCAGATTGTTAGGTTGTGTTTGTGTTTTTGGGATTTCCCACTTCGCTCTATTATTGAGGGATGTGTGTGTGTCTGTGTGTGTATGTCTGTGTGTCTGAGTGTATATGTGTGTGTGTGTGTGTGTGAGAGAGAGAGAGAGAGAGAACATCAGTTTTAATTCCATGTTTCATAGTTGTGAAGTATCATCATCTTCAAATGGTCAGCATCCCTCATTGATTTAGTTAGCATCCTGGGCTGAGGCCAGAAATCCCTACCCTTTTTTTATGGAGTTTAAGCAGGCCCTAAACTCTAATGCGAAATAAGTTCCCCGTGTATTTTTCAATATCTCTACTGAGTTATCTGTCACATTAAATTTCTTTCTGTAGCATTTTAAAAATACTATTTTTCAGTAAGTCCCTCTATAAGACAGAGGTCACCAAACTAGGATGTGGACAACTTTTCAAGATATACAAGATGTACATCTTTTTGGAACGGTACTCTTTATGTTATACTGCAGAAGTACTGATGAAAGAAAGCTACGGGAAATCTATTTTGAAAATCCCAAAATAAAGCTAATTTAAACTTTGTGTGCACCTATTGAACTCACCCTGGTTCAGTTTTCTGGCCAATCGGTCTGCCAATTGGTTCCCTTCTGCAAGTTGCTCACGGAAGCTCTGACCCAAGTAGTAGTCAATGTCAGTGCCTCGTAGAAGCTCTTCAAAGGATTTGATGGTGTCCTTGAAGTATTTGTTTAGCATATGAGACACCCCTTGTCCCTCTCGCATCAGCTGGCGCAGATGGGAAAGCTCCCGAGCCTGAGTTTGGACTAATGAGTCATATTTCCTTGGGGAAAAGAGAGCAAACCAAAGTTATTAAGTGATCCAACTTCAGGACAAGTAAGAAACAAGGATTTTTCTGTGCACTTTGTCCCATTCACCAGAAGGACATCCATACCTGAAGTATCTCATACATTCATCATAGAGGGCTGAATTCACTTTCACATTCTGGAGTGAGTTTACAAATTCTTAAATGGAGAGTGGATAATTCAGAAATTATTCATATATTACATAGCATAGTGTTTTCTATTAATTTTATCTAGTACTTATCTTGCAGTAGTTCTCATGCAGAGAACTATTGTTTGGAGTTACCAGAAGAAAGGAAGCTAGAGTAGAGACTTAAACTGCCCAATGAAGTTTAGTTTGATCATACCATTTGCTTCAATATGTAAAAGCCAACTTCTTGAAGTAGGTGCTTTATTGGCCATTGTGATTTTGCAGAAACCTACACCAATGCTCTGTCAGACTTAGCTGATCATATTTATCCCTGCACCCTGGAATGTCTTACCCCAAGGAGGCTGTACGTTTCAATTCCTCTGGCAAAAATTCCTTTGGCTTAGTCTCATTCAGATGAGCTTCCAACAGGGACACTCTCTGTATAAGTCTGGCCAAATCTTTGTTGGGGTGGAGATTTGGTGGGCTGAAAGTTCCAAAGCTATCAAATTGCCAGCCTTCATCTTCAAAAATCATACTGTGGGAAGGTGAATTGCCCAGAGTGTAGCCTTGCTTCAATTGGAGTGGCTGATCTCCCACAGAACCATAGTCACTGGTAGTGGATACAGAATGCACACAACTTTGTAAGTTCTGAATAACTTCGTGGAAACTTTGCAATTGCATCTGAAGGGCCTGAATATGCTGGCGGAGAACTGGAGCATCATCAACTTGGCTGACACCCAGGAATGCTTCCTGTTTCACCAATCTGTTTAGAGGGGACTCCGGTGATTTCTTCCAAAAGTTTAGTTGCTCATCATGATCTCTGCATTCTGAGTAAAACAAAACAACAACAAAAAAGACTAAGAATTAGGACTAAATAAATAATCAAGGCTTCCAGACTAATTGAGTTTGGATCACAGCAAATTCCAATTTTCTGTATCTCTTTTGTTTGTAAATATCTACAATTTGCATGTACAATGATGACCAAAATGGAACTTTGAGATATGTTTTCTGTACCTTCTTATATTAAGAACTCTTTGCTTAAGATTTATTAGGAGTCCTTTATAAGTCAAACAATTGAAAGCATTAAGGATGGCAGCCAGAGGAACATCTTACATTACCAGGGCTTGTAGTCTCGTCCCTGTCAGCCTCATTTTCACTTCTGCCACAGGTTTCATAGCCCAGGTCTTGAATATCCATCTGCATCTGCTTGTTATCCTGCTGTACCATAGGTTCACCTGTCACAATATATGTTTCAGTTATTTTCTATTGATCTTCTGCCAGAAATCCAGATGCGCACAAGATAATGCAAATTATATGGCATGCACACTATTAGTTTGGTTTAAAACTTAGTAGGAAAGTTCTGTAAAAGACAGGAATTGTTAAGTGAGGTTTGGAGGACTCCATGTGCACATACTTATGATTACGTACGTTTAAAAAAACACACTACAAATTACCATGATAGCAAATTTAGTGAGATTATCCAAAAAGATATTCATGATAGAACCACTAGCTACCATAGATATCTGCCTGTTCAATACAGAAATTGTACAGGTGGTCTGGAGACATCACTTACTTTTTATGTGAAATGCTTATATGTATGAGGTGGTGGACCTATGTTTTTTAGCTTTGTTTAAACTACTATGAAGACACGCTGTTATGTAATCAATTGTCATTCCAGAAAGTTCTACAGAAAGGAGGAAAGTTCTCTTGAAACATCCCCCTATTCCTGTGCAAGCACTGGACTTTTTGAAGTTTAGAAATTATTTGGCCACATTGCATATTATGTTTAAAATGAAAGAAGTACATTTTTTTAAAACTTGGATTGAATCTAATTATATCATTTTTGATAATTTTCAGACATCCCTAGCTGAAATATCATGTTTTGTCTACTCCAAAACAGGAAAATAGCTCATTCATTAAAGCTATCAACCACAATAGAATGTTAACACAATTTTCATGTACAGCCTTGCCATTTTTCAACCTTCTCATGGCATTTATTATTATAAGTAATATTGATTTCAATTCACTCTAATATATTGATATTTCGATACAAATTGCTAAACTATGCCTTTCAGCATTCTCTTATTTCAGTTTCTCCCTTAAATAATTTCACTGAGTTTATTTTTAATTCCATTCACTCTGAGGATTTCCTTTTGTAAAGCTCTTTTTATCTATTTCAACACATGGTTTTTATTTCTGTCACAATCCTGAATTCTCTGGGTTTCTTTTAATCTTTTATTAAAAATGAGGAATATCTGGATGTGAAGCTGGCAAGGAAGCTTTATTATGGGCTCCCTCTTTGGAAGTTCTTCAACTCAAGAACATATTCCTTTGGTTTAAAGAGGGACTAAGCAGCTAAAACAAAAATAAAATTAAAATATTAATACTAAACAACACCCCTCCCCACAAAGCAGCAAAACAGTACAAATACTTTGTAATTTATCTCTGTTAAATGTCATTCTGTTATTTTTTGCCCATTTCTCAAAACTGTTTTGATTTACATTTGTCTCTTCCAGTTATTAACTATTTAGCCTAATTTTATGTCATGTATACATATTAGTACAGTTGATAAGCAATCCCTTCATATTTTCATCTAAGTAATTAAAATATTGAAGAACTATTTAACTTATCACTTTGGGTTGTAATTTTACTCACTGAGTAGGGCTTTTAATTGTTTGAGCTGGGCTATCTGTGCCTGGATGATGGCTTCTGACACCAAGAGTCTCTCTTGTAATTTGTGACACTGTTGCTTGCATTGGGGTTGTTTGGACTTCTGGACAAAACCACTTGATACTCTGCCTTCTTCAGCCTGCAAGAAGAAACATGAGTGCTTCAACCATCAGAAGAAATGGCCCGATAGATGTGGATGGGCTCTGCATTACTTGGCCTAGCCCTAGAAGATATATGGTGTCAGGCTTGCCATCTTCAGCATCTTTCGCTTTGCTGGCATTCAACCATAAAATGCAAGGGAGGGGAGAAACAATTGGGGAAGTAAGGCATGGGATTGAGCAGGAAAAGGGGAGGGAGATGACAGTGACAAGAACCAGAGGTGTTGATCTGGACTAAACCAGCTGATCAAGGACAAGCCTGAGAATGGTATGTGAAACTACACCAGAGAAGCACCAACCTTCAAAGCTGTTCCCAAAACATCAAAAACAGATATTACTGGACACTAATGGACTGGCCAAGACAGGAGGCCCAGGTGGAAAGAGAAAATTGCAACTTTTGTGTGGGAATATTCAGATCCAGCTTTGCTTTTTCTGTATGCTTGACTTTAGTAAAAGAACCTTTCAATTCAAGAAATGGAGTCGAGGATCTTTCTTTACTAAACATCTGAGCCAGGACCAGCCTGACATATGGATAATGTATGCTGTACACTTGGTCAGAGATAGTATTTTGCGGACCCCCATCAGCCAAAGAATTTTGACTGGCAGAATCTAGGAATGGAGCCTTCTCTGCCATTGCCTCTGCCTGGTGGAATACGCTGGTGAGGCAGGTTCCATTCTCTCAGCCTTCCAGAAAGCCATAGAATCATGGCTCTTTGCCCTTGTTTGGGACATGTAATTGAGATGGCAACTGTGGGGTTGGTTGGGGCCGATAGCCCTTCCTCCCACCTTAAGAGATTCTTAACATCTCTTACATCTTTTAAATTTTATATTTTTAATCCTTTTATTATTTTACTGTACACTACCCAGATTCTCGATGGGGGTCTTAAATATGAAAAAATAAATATTCTTTCAGGAGGGTTTATGATACAGAATAGGCATAGCTAAAGCAAGCAACAGCCACGGCTATTTTAAACTTTTATAAAAAGAATATTGCATTTAATTTGCACTAGTTTGTTTACAAGTAGAACTTGGTAAATGAGCATAGGTGGGTTTTATTCACTATCAAATCCCCTTTCCAACAATCAGCCATATTTCCTGGCTATTGAGCATGATTAGTTTTCACTGACTATTTGAGATAGCAGCAATCCCAGCTTTGGCCTATGAGTAGCAGCTGGAACCTAATTCACAGAGGACCAAGCTTAGACTTTTCTAATATAGATGACCAAAGGGCAGTATGATCCACAGGTGAATAGGCATTACTAATTAATGGTGGCAGGTGTTGGTTTAATCCATTTCTTTAAACTCTGATCATACCTGGGTTTCTTCTGGGCTGCCCATAATTTGATTGGGTGGGCAGTGCAACAATGGTGAATGGTCATGGTGAGCTTGGCAAGTGCACTGCTCTTGTTCATTAATCAGAGCTGTGCTAGCTGTCATTTGGTGAATTGTGGTGCCTTTGCATCCTTGGTTTTTTAGATTCAATTGTTCTTTAAGGAGGCCAATCACAATCTCTGAAGTGTGCAGTTTCTCTTGCAGTTTCTTGATATCCCTCCTCAAGTCCTCTTTATCTTCCTTTTCATCTTCTTTCTCCCAAATCTCTGACAACTTTGCTTCTCCAATTTGTTCCTTGAGTTCTGCATTCTCGAGACAAAGACTAAGCAGGGCCTTCCTGTTGAAACACAGAGATTAACATTGAGAATGAAATATTATTTAACACTCACCTGGGGTTATTCAGTCTACAGATATTTATTCAGTTATCGCTCTGCCATTAATAACAGAACAAATATTTTGAGACTCCATCAGTTTGAAGATTGCCCCTTTAGTTTGTTTTAGTAAAAAAAGAAGAGAGATTCAGTAGCACATTGCCTGCATGTAGAATGTCATCAGTTAGAAATCTGGCAGAAATAAGCTAATTTGTTCTTAATTATTATTTTTATCTCCTTGAGCTATGTACTTTTCTACATGATTCTTAAAAAAATAAGCACTTATTTAAAAAGAAAAACTCAGCTGAAAAGTGGGTAAATTGGGAAAAGAAAAATAGTAATTAAACAACAAAAAGAAAAGCCATTTCCCCATATTGCAAACAAGTGGTTTTCTATAAGTCAGGCAACTATTATATGCACCATGCTATTGAATTTCCTATGTCCTAATACAGGCAGTCCTCAACTTACAACAGTTCATTTAGTGATTGTTCAAAGTTACATCACTGAAAAAGTGACATAACCAGTTTTCACATGACCATTGCAGCATCCCCATGGTCATGTGATCAAAATTCAGAGAGTTTACAACTGACTCACATTCATGATGGTTGCAGTATCATGTGATCACCTTTTGTGATCTAACAAGCAAAGACAATGGGTAAACCAGTTCACTTAACAACCATGTTACTAACTTAATAACAACAATAATTCAATTTAACAACAGTGGCAAGAAAGATTGTAAAATGGAGAAAACTCAATGAACAAATGTCTCACTTAGTAACAATTTTGGGCTCAATTGTGGTCATTAAGTCAAAGTCTAGACCTTAGTGAGTCTGCTAGTATTAGGAAAATGGTCTCCAGAGGACCAAGGAGCTGAACACTTTGCCCATTGGTGCCTCCAGTTGTCTGGACCATGAAAAATTACTCCAGCTCCTCTAGAAATGAAGATTGTGATGATCCAAAGTTACAATGGGATTGAGTGATGATCAAAAAAGAATGTCTACATTACTGGGAAACAAACAATATTGGGTTTTATAAAAAAAAAAAAAAGAAGAACACCAATTCCTGAAGAAATACCTGGATATTTTTGTCAATGGCAGAAAGGAATTAAGAATATTTTTTCTACATTGTAAGAAAGCTATTGAAATGGAATGGTTAACTGACATGGGATACTCTATGATTGGTGTGGAAAATCAGTGAAAGTACGTTGAAGGACTTTTTTTACAGAACAAAATCTTTCATTTTCAGAAGAAATAATTCTACAAATCTCTGGAGCTAAATTATTAAAATGCATATCTCTAAATATTTGTCTGTATTGTAATTTCTACTATTTGACCAGCTCTGTGACTGGTCATTTTGATGGGATTTGGAACAGAGGATCTCTAGTCTGTTAACCCTTCTGAGAGAGAATTCTATGTTTAGTTGATATTATCACTAATGAACAGAATGTATCGCTTTTTTTCCTATTACTTTGTTGTATGATGCAAGAAAACAAAAAGGCTACCATTCTGTTTCTGATTCAGATATGAAAGGTTTATTTAGAAAAAAATGATAAACAATGTCTTGAAAAAGTCTATGGTTTGGAAGAGTGACATAAGAAGTAGGATTTAGATTATTTATGGGAAGTTTTATACTTGATCCTATTGAAAGAATCGAGATGACTCCCAGACCTACCCCAATGAACCACTTCGTTGCCAGGCACCATAATATTTCTCATAATCAATCATTCTCAAGATATTTTCTTCTATTACTAATATGTCTGAGGATACTTTTTTCTTGAAATTTGCCTTTGTAAATAAACCTACATTGTTAAAATGGAAATTATAATTTGGGGGTGGGGGTTATTATTTTAATTTCTACATTGTGTTTTTATTTTCTGTAAGCAGCCTAGAATCACTGCAAGTGTGTAGGCAGCTATATAAATTTTCATAAAGAGAAAGAAAGAAAGAGAGACAGTCCGCTGCTGTTCACCCTGTTGACCCATGACTGTTGTGCTAGATTTGCCACCAACCATATTGTGAAGTTCGCATATGATATAACAGTAGTGGGCCTTATTCATGATGACAAGATGGAAGCTTACCGCAAGGAGGTTGAGGGGTTGGTGAACTGGTGTAAGGAAAACAGCCTAGTTTTAAATACCAGAAAAACCAAAGAGATCATTGTTGATTTCAGAAAAGGCAGGCACATCTCTGTGCATAAATGATTCACCAATGGAGATGGTTACCAGCATCAAATTCCTGGGTGTGCAGCTAACGAGTAGGCTGGCTTGATCGTTCAACAGTGAGAAACTGGTAAAGCGGGCACAGCAGCGCCTGCATTTTCTGCATGGCATGAGAAAAGCATATCTTCCTTTTCCTGTCCTGACCACTTTCTACAGGGGGACAATCGAGAGCATCCTGTCATACAGCATCACAGTCTGATTTGGAAGCATCACTGCTTCAGATAGGAAGGCAGTGCAGAGAGTGCTGAGAATGGCCGAAAAGATCATTGGCAATCCCCTCCCTCCCATCTAGGACATAGCACAGAAGTGCTGCTTGAGCAGGATCCGTAAGATTATCTGGGACACTACACATCCTCTTCATGACCTGTTCACCTTTTTACCTTCTGGAAGGAGGCTTCATGGTATCCGCAGCAGAACATCCAGATTCAGCCATAGTTTCATTTCATATAGCATTAACCTTGTGAACTCTCAAGCTTCCTCTTTCCATTATATATTCAAGATGGACAGTCTTTAATATTTATTTGTTATGTATATGTAGGGGTGTGGGTCTATCTGTATGTTGTATATAGTATGTTTTTAGGGTGTGTTATGTATGTGTTTTACATTGAGAGCGGGCAACTAAATTTCATTTTTGATGTGTGCCGTTGTGTAAAAAAATGACAATAAAGCTTATCTTATCTTATTGGAGAGAGAAGGGGGGGGAAGAAAAAAGAAAGAGAAAGTAAGAAACAAAGGAAGGAAGGAAGGAAATACAAAATATAAATTGTTATTTTAAAGCTGAATGCTCAGCCTATACGTATGCAAATTTTAATGCTTGTACTTTACCTATTGTCTTCTTTGACAAGATGATTAGATTAGTGGACCAAGAGAATACTGTGGATGCAGTATACTTCAGCTTCAGTAAGACATTTGATAAAGTAATAGTATCCTTGATAAATTGGAAAATGTGAACTAGATGGTCCCATCAGATGGATTCACAATCTGTTGAAGTGCAGTCAACATGTGATCATTAATGGCTCTATGTCCACATCGAGAGAGACATTTAGGTGGGTTACCTCAGGGTTCTGTCCTCTGCCCAGTATTGACCAGCTTCTTAAAAAAATGACTTAGATTAGGGCAGTGATTCTCAACCTGTGGGTCGGGACCCCATTTGCGGTTGAACGACCATTTCACGGGGCTCGCCAAACAACGCAGTCCGCCATTTTTTCCCCATTTTCCTTAGCTGTGCTACTCCGTTTTATTCTATTGGCTTTTGAAAGCCAATAAAATAGACTCTCTTGAATAGAGTCTAATTCTATTGGCTTTCAAAAGCCAATAGGAATTGTCCAGGCTGTCTCTGCCCTGATGAGCCTGCCAAAAGTCCCATTCTGCAAATGGTGCTGCACCAGTTGAGTAGTCCTCGACTTACGACCGGTTGAGTAGTCCTTGACTTACGACCGGTTGGGGGTCGCTGCATTAAAAAGGTTGAGAACCACTGGATTAGGGGAAACAAGCATGCTCGTAAAAATTACGGATGACATAAAATTGGTAGAAATTGGTAATACATCTAAAGACAGGCTCAAGATTCAAAAAGATTTGGATAAACTTAAATATAGGATCTATCTGTAAGGACCCACTTCAATCCACATCTTAAGAAAGCAGAACTCTTGGAAATGGTCTCTTCCAATAGGAACTTTTATTAAAAGAAACTGATAGCGGGCATGATAGACAGGATCTGAGGGATTCCCTTACAATGCGATGTTTTAAATTGTCCCTAAGCAGCCCCCCACCCCGCAGTTCTTCCAGGTGATTCAAACTGGCAGATTTCTAGGTGTTAATTCCAGGAGAGATAAGATCGATCTGGCTTCGTTAGCACAATCATTCAACATCTTCTCACACAGATCCCAGATGCTGCATCTCCCCCCCCCCCTTTCTCTCACTGGCCTGTAAGGAGGAGAAGTTCAGAGGGGCATAGGATGAAAGGCAAATGGCTACATTGTTATGGTTGGCAGATCCAAAGTGAATCAACAAAAGGTTACTTTCTAGTGAATAGAGGAAGTGAAAGTAATAAAACCCCTATGCATACTCCCCTCCCCCTTAGTAGTATGACAGGATCCAGGAGAGAGTAAAATTGGTTTTATATCAGAGAAGATAGATAGAAATAACTGGATTCTGACACTATCCAACAAAATATTCAATGGTAAAAATGTAGACAAGAGAAACCAGATGTACAGGTAAGTGGTATCTGGTTTATCAATAAAACTTGTGAGAAAGATCTGGGGGTCTTGATAGACTACAAATTAAGGATCAGCCAGGAATGTGCTGCAGCTGCCAAAAAAGCCAATGCAATTTTGGACTGCATCAATAGGGGTATAGTGTCAAGATCATGGGATGTGATAGTACTGCTTATACTGCACTAATTAGACCATACTTTTTATCAAGCTCTGGTTGCCACAGCGCAAAAAGGACACTGAAGAACTAAAAAGAGTTCAGGGAAGAGCAAAAAAGACAGTAAAGTTGTTGGAGGCTAAATCCTAGCAGTGAAATAGCAATAGCAATAGTACTTAGATTTATATACTGCTTTACAGTGCTTTACATCCCTCTCTAAGTGGTTTACAGAGTCAGCATATTGCCTCCTATATTCTGGGTCCTCATTTTACCAACCTTGGAAGGATGGAAGGCTGAGTCAACCTTGAGCCGGTGAGAATGGAACTGCCAAACTGCAGGTAGCCAGCAGTCAGCAGAAGTAGCCTGCAGTACTGCATTCTAACCTCTGCACCACCACGGAACTAGCTATGTAAGGTATCTTTAGCTTAAAGAAAAGCAGGCTAAAAAGTGGTATGGTAGCAGTCTTTTAATACTTGAGTATGACACAAGGAAGAAGGTGTGGCTTTATTCCCCAGAGTACCCAGGGATAAGTCAAAAACCAATGGGTGGAAGCAGAATAGAATAGAATAGAACAGAACAGAACAGAACAGAACAGAACAGAATAGAATAGAATAGAACCTTGGAGGTTTTCTAAGCGAGCCACCTGCTCAAGCAGGAGAACCTATACCATTTCAGATAAGTGACTGTCTGGTCTCTTCTTAAAACCTTTAGTGATGGAGCACCTATGATTTCTGAAGACAAGCTGTTGCACTGGTTAATTGCCCTCACTGTTAGGAAGTTTTTCCTTAATTCCAGGTTTCTTCTCTCTTTGATTAGTTTCCAACCATTGTTTTTCGTCCTGCACTGGTTAATTGCCCTCACTGTTAGGAAGGTTCTCCTTAATTCCAGGTTTCTTCTCTCTTTGATTAGTTTCCAACTATTGTTTTTTGTCCTGCCCTTTGGAGAATAATTTGACCCCCTCTTCTTTGTGGCAACCCCTCAAATTCTGAAATACTGCTATCATGTCACTTCTATTTCTTCTTTTCTTTAGATTAGCCAAACCCAAGTCCTGCAGTTATTCTTCACATGTTTTATCTCCAGGCCTTTGATCATCTTAGTTGTTCTTCTCTGAATTTTTCCAAGGTGTCACCTTTTTTTTTATTAATTTTTTTTATTTTTTAAAACATAAAATTATTTATAAAAATACAATAAAATTTTAAAGTAGAAGAAAAAACAAACAAACAAAAAACAAACAAACAAACAAAAAACCCCTACCCTCCCTCCCACCCCCAACCCCCCTCCCTTCACTTCCCAGAGCAGAATACAGGGTTAATAATAATAATAAAAAAATTATAATAATTAAGAAAAAAGAAAAAAAGAGAAAAGAAAAAAAAGGAAAAAAAATTATCATAATTAACCTTTAACTCCATAACCTATAAAACAATTCTCTATAATATTTAAAATGCATTCATAAAATAAGTGAAACTTTTTAATTCCATACTTTTTCTGAATATAATCTATCCACCTTCCCCATACAATAATATATCTTTCTTGTGTATGATCCTTTAAATAAGCAGAAATTTTTGCCATTTCTGCAAAACTAGATACTTTAAATATCCATTCTTCTAAAGTAGGCAAAGAATCTTTCTTCCAATATAAACCTACTAGTAACCTTGCTGCAGTTAATAAATTCAACATCAAAGTAGTTTCTTTTTCATTTAAGTCAACAAAAATACCAAGCAAAATAGTTGAGGAGTAAACTTTATCTTTTTTCTAAAAATCTTTTGAATGTTCCACCAAATCATAATCCAAAAAGCCTTTACTTTTTTACAATTCCACCAAATATGAAAGTATGTCGCATCATTATTGCCACATCTCCAACATTTGGGCTGTATATTGGAATACATACAAGATAATTTTTTAGGATCTAAGTGCCATCTATAGATGGCAAGGTGTCACCTTTTTTGTAGTATGGTGACCAAAACTGGTTGCAGTATTCCAGGTGTGGTCTCACTAGGGGTTTATGAAGCAGTACTAATACTTTGTGTGATCTTGATTCTATGCTTTTGTTTATACAACCCAGGATTGTATTAACTTTTTTGGCTCCTGCTGCATATTGCTGGCTCATAGTCAAGTGATCGTCCACTAGGACTCCAAGGTCCCTCTCACAGTTACTGTTTTTGAGCCAGGTCTCACCTAATTTGTACTTATACCTTTGATTTTTTCCTGCCTAAATGTAAAACTTTGCTTTTCTCCATATTAACATTCATTTCGTTGGATAGGGCCCATTATTCAAGTTTGTCAAGATCTTTTTGGATCCTGAGCTTGTCTTCTAGGGTGTTGGCTATTCCTGCCACTTTAGTGTCATCTGCAAATCTGATGAGTTCCCCTTCTATTGCCTCATCTAAGTCATTTATGAAGATATTGAAAAGTACTGGACCTCAGACAGAGCCTTGTGGTACCCCACTGCTTACTTCTCTCCATGTGGATGTAGTATCGAGGACGACTTTTGAGTATGGTTTGTCAGCCAGCTACAAATCCATCTGGTGGTGATGTCTATTCCACATTTTTCTAGCTTACCAAGTAGTAGGTTGTGGTCTACTTTGTCAAATGCCTTACTGAAATCTAAGTATACTATGTCCACTGCGTTTCACTGGTCTACTAGTTTAGTCACTTTATTGAAGAATGAAATAAGATTGATTTGGTATGATCTGTTTTTAACAAACCCATGCTGGCTACTACCGGTAGTTATAACTTTGTTTGCTTCTAGTTGTTTGCAGATCTGTTTTTTTATGATCTTTTCCAGGATCTTCGCAGATATTAATGTTAGACTGATTGGTCTATAGTTTTCTGGTTCTGTTTTTTTTCCTTTCGTGAAGATGGGAACATCAGCCCTTTTCCAATCCTCAGGTACTTCCTCAGTGCTCCAGGATATTTGAAAGAACAATGGTTCTGAGATAACATCTGCCAGCTCTTTTAGAACTCTGAGATGTAATCTGTCAGATCCCAGTGATTTATATTCATCAAGGTCGGATATATGTTCTCTTACCATTTTCCTGCTTATTTTAATTTTTATTTCTAGTTTGTCTTTTATAGTAGTTTTGTTTTGGTATTATTTCTTTTTGTGTGAAGACTGATGCAAAGAATAAGCAGATCTGCTTTCTCCCTACTGCCTGTTACTTCCTTGCTATCTTCTCTCTTTAGTAGACCTACTGTTTCCTTGACTTTTTTCTTGTTATTAATATGTTGAAAGAAACTTTTTTATTATCCTTGAAATAAAGAGAGCTATTAAGCAGTGGAAATACCTTCCATCATTGGAAGTTTTCAAGAAAAGCCTGGATAGCTATTTTTCCAGAATGGTATGAGGATTCACACAGTGGGCAGGGGATAGGATTAGACCGCCAAAGTCCTCTTCAATCCTATAATTCTGTGTGGATGAAAGGAAGGCATTTTGAACATGTCATGTCTATTGTGATCAAATTACTCTGCCTCCTCACTGGTTCATGAGCTTGCTTTATTGACAAAACCTGAACATCTTGTGGGTTGTCTTTTTTCATAAATTATTTTTAACTCTATTTCAGAGAAACCACTTAGCTCTATAAAAAAACATTATATTAAAATGCATTTTATTTTTTATAATTATTTCAAACATTTATTGTGTTATTGATTACATACTAGTCTCAAATTTCTGTTCAAGTAATTGGTGCTGTTTTTGCATCAAACATTGTGATGATAGAGGACTTTCCTTTTTTTCCTGCCCAGATTTTTTTTGGCTAACTTATTTAAAAGGAGGAAAAATTGCACAATTAGAAAGAATTAAGAAATCTTGAATCAATATCCGTATAAGAACAAAAACATTACTGGCTAGCTTAATGTAGATCTTTTTAGGGAGATATGGCATAGATTTTGTTTAATGCAGATTTCCCCCATCTCCAAATAATAATGTTTTTGTCAGATCTGCCATCTGCAGCTTCTATGCTTTGCTGGCATCTTGTCATAAAATGCAAGGGAGGGGGAGAGTAGAGTAATAGTGATGGGAACGTAAAGATAAAAGATGGGCGGGTGAAGGCGACAGCCTTAACAGAATCCAGAAGTGCCAAGATCGGAATATACCAGTCCTTTTCAAGGACACCTGGCCTGAGAATGGAATGCGAAACTGCACTGAGTGGTGCCAAACAGCCAAGCAGTTCTCAAAACATCTGAACGGCACCCTATTGGACATTGATGAACTGGTCAAGGGGCAGGGCCAAGGAAAGGGAGAAAAGAAATCATTGCATGGGAATATTCAGATCTAGCCTTTCTTTTGCTGCAACCACTTCACCGTAGTAAAAGAATCTATCATTCCAACCAAATGGAGTTGAGGGTGTTTCTTTTCTAAGGACCTAATCTGGGGCAAGCCTGACAGTTTTTATGTTTCTATACTGAAAAGTATTGAGCCCACAGATAAGAACTCAGACTGCTGGATGTCCAACATATTTTCTAGCATCAGTAAGACCTTACCTTAGCTGAGATATCGAAGAAAACCCAGCTTCCTCAATCTGCTCTTTAAAGACTTGTAGCTCTTCTTCCAGTTTCCTTTTCTCTTCTAGAACATGCTGAACCATAGATTTTGGAGACTGTAGCATCACTTGCTGGTTGCCTTCACTCTTCAAAGTCAGTAAAGCAGGATAACTGGAATGGCTCATCAAACTATCATCAATATCTCCCTTAACATTCTAGAATGTGCAGATATAATAAAAGAGTTATTCCTAATGACATAATCTAAATCTTCTGAAAATAAATGGCTAAATCAGGTATAGGGAATTTTGGGGGTCCATGTTTTTGCTAAACTACAGTTACTGGCCATTCCCATCTAAGGTTGCTGGAAATTGTATGTCAGAAACATTTGGGAATGCCTCCAGCTCCCTGTCTTGGTGTTAAATAAGTATATAAATAAACAGTTCTAGCAATAAAAATGCCTTCAATGCAATAAGAAAAACACTACATAATTTAATAGTGAGGAGAAGCATCAATTAACATTGAAAGAAATAGCAAATCCTAGAACAGGAATTCAATATTTTGTAATCTACATTATTTGCCTAAGAGACAATGTAGTCAAAGTTAACTTTTGATTTTGGTTATTAACTAGCCTTATATAACAAAAACCATAGAAATAAAAATAAAAGCTAAAATAAATAAAACAAAATGGATTAAAAGATAAGCTAAACACAGCCAACACAGGTGAAACTTTAATTTAGATAAATCATGTCAAAGACTGAGACTGTTAGCATTATAGCTTCTGTGTAGAGACTATAGGAAGTATAGGAAGAAACAGATAAACAGGAGAGTTATCAGGTATTGATATTTATACTATTAAACATTAAAAGCAAGTTTAATCAAGTCAAACTGTCCAAACTGAGCATCTATCAAATCTTGCTATTAAACAACACCTGGTGATTTGATAAGAGAGTGAATTTCTCTGACCAATTAGACAGTAATTGAAATAAAAAGAATCATTATGGCCTAGATATTAAGCTAATGAAGGTATGTGTAAGGTCCTGCCTCAGCTAATACTCCCAAGAAAGCAGAACTCTTGAAACTGGCACTTTCAAATAGGAACTTTTATTGGGAGACAGTGATAGCAAAAAGCAAAGCAAGATTTAAAGAATTCCTATGCAAATCGTTACATTAAAACTTTCTTTTCACAAACCCCACCCAAGAGCCCAGCTATCCAGTTTATGTCCAGCCAATCCACAGGTATGAAGTTGTTATGGGAACCAGAGCTGATAAAGGATGGTTCCCAGGCATTTCAACGAATCTCACAATGGTTCCATCTTTAAATCTCTCTTGTCTGGTTCATCAGTTGTCTGTTTTATTTGCTCACTCTCTATTTTTAGTTTCTGAGAGCTTTTTGTTGTAATGTTAAATTAGAAATGCATTCATTTATATTTTCAAAGTTATTTTTAATTTCCTCGTGGTTTGAGATCATTATTGTTTAAGTTAGTTGCAACATTAGCATATATCTCCTGGAAAGTATTTGTTTTTCTTGGTATATTCTTTCTGCAAATCTCTGGTTTTCCATCATAGCCCAAAATCAGGGTTTTCCTTTCTCTGCAGACAGCTTTAAAGTCACAGTTGAATAAGTATTTATAATCCAGAAAAGTCAATGTTTTTCTCTAAAGTTTATAGTTCTCTCTTTGTAGGTAGCCCAAGATGTTTTCTTTTTGTCACAGTTGTTCTCTGTTATTAAGACATTGAAGGTCACCTAAAAACAAATTATATTTTCCTGAGCTTTGCTAGTTCCTGTATTGAAATAACTACTATATTTTCATCCACCATTAGATGTCAGCACTAGTTTGTTTTTCAGTTTTCAAAATAAACAATTATTTTCTTCTATTTTCATGATTTAAAAAAGAAATCTTAACACATTCCAATTTCAAATTCATCCAGATTTAGGACTTATATTCATTTCATTTCAGTATATTTCTGTCCCCACTTAAGGGTTTAATTTGCTGCTTCTGTCTGTAGGAGGGTGGGGCAAAGATCCCCCTTCTTCTCACTTTCAAAGGCTTTTTGCTTCTTGGATTCCCCCCCCCCCGAAATCAATTATCAAGTAGAAGAGAGAAAATCACTGTTCTTACCCAGTTCCAAGCATGTTGTTTACAGTCAGCTTAAAATAGTGCTTTTGGGCTTCAGGTGCTTGTAGCTTGGGCTAGACTCTGAAGTTAAGCTAGCCTTTCTCTGCTGGATTCTGGAAGGCTTTTCCCAGACTGATCGGATCGACTGCTATCTCTCCGCACTCGGCGGGACTTCCCTCCTTCTTTATCAGCTCTTAGGGAAAAGAAGGAGACATTAGCCAGCCCCTCCCTGGCTGGAACATAAATAGGAGGGGTTTGGGGAGTGGCTATTTGTGACAGACAACCGTTCATGTTACTGAATACTTCAATCATTTGGATTTCTTTGCCAAGGTTTCTTTGCCAAGATTCAGGTTTCCTAGGACTCTTTATTTGGGTGTGAAGTACTAATTAATTCTCCCTGCTGGGAGCCAATTGACATTAAAAGTGCCTTAGCCATGTGAGCTGGGACTGCTACTGCTTCAGCAAGCATTTAAAGACTTGTTAACTGGGGTTTTCCCATGAACATGGTTTGTTCCTGCCTTGTAAATAAAAGGGGTTTCTACTTACGAGTAAGCAGTTGCTTAGTACTGGAGCAACATAGCGTACACTGTCCCCACAGTAGGGCAGATGCCTCTCCAGGTTGACCACTTTGCAGATCTTGCTTAATGTAAGGTCCTGCCTCAGCTAATACTCCCAAGAAAGCAAAATTCTTGAAATTGGCATTGTTTCAAACAGGAACTTTTATTGAGGGACAGTGATAGCAGAAAGCAAAGCAAGATCTAAAGAATTCCTGCACTAATCGTTACATTAAAACTTTCTTTTCACAGAGCCCAGCTGTTCAGTTCGCATCCAGCCAATCCACAGGTATGAAGTTGTTATGGGAACCGGAGCTGATAAGGGATGGTTCCCAGGTGCTTCAACAGATCTCACAACAGAGTGGAGATAAGGCAGATGGCCCCTGTCACATTCCTCCCCCCTTTTCACACCCAAAGAGATACAAAGTTTAGGGGGAACAAAGTAGAGGAAATATATCTGTAAGCCTTCCTACCATTAGAGTGAAATCTTCCCATCCCGTCAGAATGGCAGAGCCCTAAAAAGAAACATTGAAGGGATTCCTGACAGTAGGATAATTTCATGTAGCATATCTCAGTAGATTTAGCTACAGATATTATCTGTGATAAAAGCATTCATTATGTAGAATTTTCTGGAATCTCATTTCTAGGACACAGTTTGTAGAGAAAGCTATAGTTGGTATACTTTGCTATGCCAGTTGTGGAAATCTTTCTTTCCTGCATTATATACAAAAATATTCAGGCTGAGAATTTAAATGAATTGAATGAATAGATAATACTGGACACTTTTTTCCAAAAATTTGGCTTCCTGAAAAACGTTTGGTGTTTATGATAGATCCCTTCAAATTTCAGAACAGAGATGGAAGGGACCTTGGAGGTCTTCTTCTAAATCTGGCTTCTAACACTAGTTGCTCCCCCCCCCCCGGCAATGTACTAAGGATCAAACAGAATGACACCAAGTGCCAAACAGAATGAACTAGCAATATACGCTGTCAGGACAGCATAGCATTTGTAAATCTCCCTGCCATTGTATGCTGTACGGTAAGTAATAAATAATAAGTCTCCTGGTGAAAACTTTCACCATATTTGTCACTGACTGCACTTAGATGTTCAGGAAAGAAATCCAAAAGTGAATGCAGAAAATGAATCGTCGATGACTTCATAGTTTGCTGTAAGAAGCTTTTCAACCAATTGAATATAGTTTAGCCTCTATAATTGTAAAAAAATTCTCAATGTGATCCTTGAATTATTTCCAGGCAATTTGAAGAACAGGGCAGCTTGGAACCAGTTTGTGCCAGCACCCAAGGCCATGCACCCTGAGAAAAGAATGTGGATTACCCCAAACATCTCAGCATTCTCAAAATACCTAGGAAAATCTTCATTAGTTGAAGGTGGAGTGGTCATGGGTAGAGGGCTGGGATGAGGGGAAACATTTTGTAGCTTTTTCGCATGGGAAACCTAGTTCTAATCTCTTTACTGCAACCAGCATCCTTTAATAAAAGAACCTATCACTTCAACCAAATGGAGTCGAGGGTCTTTTTTTCCTAAGGAACAGGTCAGGGGCAGGTCTGACACTTTCTCTCAAAGCATGATTTAGCAAATTGGGCCTCCACACACCTTGCCAATTATATGGTTCCTAAGAAAAACAATAGAGACTTCAAAACAGAATAACAGAGTTGGAAGGGACCTTGTAGGTCATCTAGTCCAACCCCTGCTCAAGCAGGAGATCCTATACCATTTCTGACACAGCTATCCAGTCTCTTTTTGAAAGCCTCCAATGATGAAACATCCACAACTTTTGAAGGCAAGCTGTTCCACTGGTTGATTACTCTGTCAGAAAAGTTCTCCTTATTTCTAGCTTGAATCTCTCCTTGATCATTTTACATCCATTGTTCCTTGTCTGGCCTTCAGGGTGCTTTGAAAAATAGGTTGTCCCTCTCCTCTCTGCGACAGCCCCTCAAATATTGGAACACTGCTATCATGTCATCCCTAGTCCTTCTCTTCACTAGACTATGCCCAGTTCTTGCAACTGATCTTCATATGTTTTAGCCTCCAGGCCCCTAATCATCTTTGTTGCTGTTCTCTGCACTTTTTCCAAAGTCTCAACATCTTTTTTGTTGAGTGGCGACCAAAACTGGATGCAGTATTCAATGTGTGGTCTTACTAAGGTTTCATAAAGTTGTACTAATACTTCACATGATTTTGATTCTATGCCTCTCGTTAAACAATCAACGACTGTATTAGCTTTTTTGGCTGCTGCTGCACACTGCTGGCTCATGTTTAAGTGATCGTTCACTAGGATTTGAAAGTCCCTCTCACGGATTGTTTTTGAGCCAGGTTTTGCCTAATCTGTACTTGTACCCTTGATTTTTCCTGTATAAGTTTAAAACCTTGTTTTTCTCCACATTAATTTCATTTTGTTAGATAGGGCCCAGTGTTCCAGTCTCTCTAGATCATTCTTGAGCCTATTATGTAGGATGCTGGTTATTCCTGCCAGCTTAGTATCATCTGCAAATTTGATGAGTTCCCCTTTTATTCCCTCATGTAAGTCATTGATGAAGGTATTGAAAAGTACTGGGCCTAAGGCGGAACCTTGTGATACCCCACTGCTTATTCCCTCTATGTAGAGATAGTACCATTAAAGACTACTCATTGAATGCAATCTGTCAGCCAGATCCATCTGATGGTGATACTGTCTATCCCACATTTCTCTAGCTTACCAGGAAGTAGGTTGTGGTCTCCTTTGTTGAATGCCTTACTGAAGTCTAAGTATACTATGTCCACAGCATTTCACTGGTCTACTAATTTAGTTTTGTCAAAGAATGAAATAAGATGGGTTTGGCAAGATCTGTTTTTTAACAAACCTGTGCTTGCTTCTAGTTATAATTTTGTTTCTAGATGTTGGTAGATCTATTTTTTCATTCTTTTCCAGTATCTTCCAGGGTAGTTTGTAGTTTCCTGGGTCTTTTTTTTTTTCTCTCCTTTTTTAAAAATGGGAACCACATCAGCTCTTTTTCAACCCTCAGGTAGTTTCCTGGTGCTCCAGGAGTTTTGAAAGATATGGTACAATAGTTCTGAGACGACATCTGCCAGCTCCTTCAGAACTTTGGGATTTAATCCATCAAGTCCCAGTGATTTATATTCATCAAGATCAGACAGCTGTTCTCTTATCATTTTCTTGCTTATTTTAATTTTTGTTTCTAGTTTGTCTTTTGCAGTAGGTTTTTTTTGGTATGTTATGGCTATTTATAGTTGGGCTATTATTTCTTTTTTTGTGAAGACTGATGCAAAGAATGAGTTAAGCAGCTCCGTTTTCTCTTTACTGCCTGTTACTTCTTGCCATCTTCTCTCTTTAGTGGACTGTGTTCCTTTGATCTTTTACTTGTTATTTAAAAGTTGAATTCTTTTTTTTATTATCTTTGACTTTTGTTGCAAGTCTTTATTCATTCCGAGCCTTTACTTTCCTGACTTCATCTTTGCAGATTCTAGCTATCTGCTGATATACTACCTGTGTTCCTATTTCCATTTTTTGTATTTATCCTTTTTGTCTTTCAGTTTATCAGAGAGATCTTTGTGCAACTGTGCTGGTTTCTTCTTGGATTTCTTTTTCTATTTTGGTAGTATTGTGCTTTTATAATCATATTTTTCAGTTTTCCAAGTTTCTTGGGTTGTCTTCCCCTTTAGGATTTTCATCCAAGGAATCTTTCCCTAACTCTGAGTTTGCTAAAATCAGCTCTTTTAAAATCTAAAACTCTGGTATGATTATATTCTATTGCCTGTGTTTGCATTATATTGAATTCCAATATGACATGGTCACTCTCATCCAAGTTTCCTGTAATTTCAATCCCTTCTATCACTTCTTTTCTGTTAGTAAGAATTAAATCCAGTATGATTGTTCCTCTAGTTCCCTCTTCTATCTTTTGGATGAAAAAGTTGTCAGCTAAGTTGGTCAGGAACCTGTCCAATCTGTCGATTGATGTCAAGGTAATTAAAGTCCCCCATTATTATTGTAGTGTGCGTCCTACATATATATTTATTAATTGGTTAGCAAAAAGTACATCTATTTTTTCTGTTTGGTTGGATGGCCTATAGTATACACCTACGGCAACGTTATTCTTTTTTTCTTTTATATTGACCCATATGAATTCTAGGAAGTTTTTGGTTTCATACATTTCTATAGTAATATAGCAGTCTTTTACATATAATGCAACTCCACCTCCTCTGGTGCATCTGCTTTTTTGAACAGTTTGTCTCCTTCTATCAGTATATTCCAGTCATGGGTTTCATCTCATAAAGTTTCAATAATGCAACTATATCTTATCTACCCTCATGTACTAATAATTCAAGTTCATCCTTTTGTTCCACAAACTTTGAGCATTTGTATACTTCCCCCAATCATTGTCCTTACCATCATTGCAGATATCCCACTTTGAACGCTTTAGGAATTTACCTGTAGGTGAGAGCAATGCTGTACTTCCTCTTCAATACTATCTGTAAACTCAGTGCTGGTATCTTTAGTGTCATCAGCTGTAGTTAGATCTAGGCATGATGTGACAAAATGAGAATCATCATTTTGAATCTCAGGTACTTTGATTTCTAGGCATCAAATTTTATCCAAGATCTTCAGTAGAATCATCAGCAAGCTTGGCTTTGGATTTTTACCAACAAAATACAATAACTTTGTGACTGAATTCAAGTTTAATCTGAAAAAAATCTGCCTTCTGGATTGTCTTGGCAACCATACAGAAATAGCTGGCCATTACTCTCTGAGATTTTCTTTCTCTAATTCCCAATCTAAAGTCTATTCTTTCTTGGGCATCCAAGTATTTACAAATCAGTTCTAAAATCTGTTAATTTATTTATGATCAGCCAAGAAACTATACAGATAGCATATAACTCCTTTCCAGCTAAGGACTTTACTAATAAAACAAAACAGGAAAAAAGAAAAACCTTGCAAGTCTCCAAGTGCTAAGGAATCTAGCAATAATTAACTTAATTTGACTTAATCTAATGGTAACAGATTAACAATAAGATTAAAAAAGAAAAAGATCAAAAGCACAAAGGGCATAACCTGCAAAAAAGAGAGCCAGGAAATGAGTAACAAGCTACATAGAAAAATAAGGAAAGAGATTAATCATAGCTCTATCTGAATGTTTTTCAGTTTGGAAGTTCAAATTTACAGCAACAGATGGTTACAGGAACTGAATCTGCTTATTTCCAGCTCTGTTTGAAACCGAAACAAAGTAATTTGGTTTTTCCTTTTGTAATACTGCAGCCCTGTAAAGTTTGTGGATGGCAGTGTTCCCATTGGCTGAATTCTGGTTCCTGATTCAATGTATGCATTACTCCCCCTCCCACCTGGGCTTGTGTGTCCTGATCCAGACAGCTTTGATAAGCATTGTTTAGAAGGTATCTCTCCCTTTTCCATTACCGCAGCACTGTACAAACATTATACTGCTATTAGGGAAGGAGGGGAATACCTGATTGGAAAAATATTGATATGCCATCATTTTGCAATTACTGCTTGCAAAAAGCTTCTTCATATGAAGCTAGAATGTTATGAAGTTTTCCCTCCTGTGAATCCCTCATGGTACATTGTCTATATGTATTTTCCTAGCATTCTCCCAAGTGGATGGACTCTAGCAGGGGGAGGCCCTATCACATTTTTAACATTTTAAAGATATGGTCCCACAAGGAAACCATAAGCTTCATCGTGGGCCCTAGCACGACTGACCCAATACTGTTCTTGGGCTTACCTGGCTAGAAAAATGGAATCCATTAATATACTGGAAGAAGAAACTGTTAAAAATATTCCCAAGGCACTCCAAGAAAAAGCCCACAGAGAAAGTAAAGCTGAATCACCTCACGCTGGCTACTGTATTAAGAAAGTGAAAGGGGAAGATGTGGCTTGCTCACGAATGAGAGGAGTCAATTTTTCTCATCCTGAGAGAATACAGGGGATTGGAAAAGGTCTTCAGCAAGCAAGAGTCCGATGCTACTGGAAAGTTCAGGAAACATCATAATTTTGGCCATTACCAACCTCTTCTCTAAACAGGTGCATTTCGTGGCTTGCCTCAAAATATTCTTGGCATGAACTCAAGCAAAACTATTTCTGCAATATATGTATAGCTCCATGGAGCCCTGGAGAGAACTATCTCTGATTGAAGGGTGCAGTTTATGTCTAAATTTTGGCAGGAAGTTTTGAAATTATCAGGATCATCCCAAAGTTCCTCTCACTACCCTCAAACTAATGGGGCTTGTGAACATTTGAATGGGGTACTGAAACAATACCTCTGCTGCTATGTTAATTACCAACAAGATAATTGGGCAATCTCCTTCCATTTGTAGAAATGGCGTACAATAACTCTATTCATAGTAGCACTGGGTTCGCCTCATTCTGCATGGCCACTGGCCAAGAATTTTCCCCCATGCCAGAACTTCCCCAACAATCTCCCCAAAATGCCTCATTAGCTGATTGTATCAAAAACCTGCAAAATACATGGCCAGTCATCCACAAGGACACGAGGAACATTTACAAGAAATATGCAGACAAAAAGAGAGTGCCGCAAAAGGAATTCCAAATTGGAGAAGTGTACCTCTCCACCAAATTTCTGCAGTAGACAGCCTTCTAAGAAATTCAGGCTGAAATTCAATGGGCCTTTCCCCATCAACAGAGTAATTAACCCTGTGACGGTACAGCTAAAATTGCCAAAAAACCGTAGTTGCATCTATCCCATTTTCCACTACAGTCTGTTGAAACCTGCATTCACCTCAGCCACATTTCATCCCACAATGAAACCACCACCTCCACCCATTCTGATTGAAGGAGAACAGTACTTTGAAGTCAAAGACATTCTTGCTTCTCACACCTACAGGGGCAAACTACAATACCTAATTCTTTGGATTTCCCCCCTTCTGACACATGTATGCTTGCCCCGTCTCATCTGCCAGTTTCACTCCCTGTACCTGATAAACCTAGATGACATTTGCTTTTTAACCTGTTTCCTTTTGTCTGCTTTCTCCCTTTAATCCTTTTTTCTGGGAGGGACAGAATGTCAGGACTGTCATCCGGCTATACCAGCCATGCTTCGCCAGATGCCAGGTTGCCATATGCAGTGGGGGGAGGGAGCTGCAGGGAGGTAAAAAGAAAGTTGGGATGAGGGGAATCAAAACTATTCTTCGTGCCATCCTGTGGGAGCCACTGGCTGTTTGAAGGTTATGGAATGGAATGGGAGACCATCCAGCCCACCAAGCCAGGGACTGTTACCAAAATAATTTGTTTGAATGTGATTGGACACTTTGAGATAATCAGACATAAGGTGGGAAGAAGGGAAAAGTTAACCAGATGCTTTGGGTGTAAAATGTCAGATACAGCTTTGTTACCCTGTAACCACTTAGTTTTAGTAAAGTGTACTTTTGTTAACAATGGATTCAAAAGACTTTCTTTTCTAACAGACCAAGTTGGAATGGCTCACCCTCTCATCTGAGTGGAGATCATCAGAATATAACTAGTTCTATGAAGGAGACACTTGAATTGAATCGTTCACCAAGTTCATCGTTTAAACATCTAAAAAAAAGCAAATTAATCCTAATCTTCAAGGTAAAGGGTACACAAGCAGTATCTTTAGGGTGAGATACTGATGTTGCTCAATCACACTAAATAATATTCAAACTTTCTGTAATTCTACAAAACTCAAACCTAATTCTTCATAAAACCTGATACAATTATAATAATCAAACCCTTTATGAGAGAACAGGTGTCGTGAGATGAAATTATTCTTTCCCTGTCACTTTACATGAATAATTGAAATAATTGAAAAGGTTTAAAAATAAACCTCTCTAGGTGTTTGAAAGGCATTTCCATAATTGTGAGTGCCCAGTTCTTCACTTCTGAGGTATAGACTGATCTTTCTCCACAAATGTCTGTAAAATTCCAGTTTGCTCTCTCTACTCCAACCTGTTATATGTTTTTTTCTGATGCGCAGAGTAATAAGGCTTTCTAAAAGGATTAAAACTGAGTTTTAATCTATCGAAGCCCAAGATCTTCTCAGCATTGAAGATTACTACCATGTTGATTCAAATAATTCACAGAAAACTTCAAACAAAGAAATTAGATAAAACATTGTAAAAGAGATTCATCTGATAGGATCATTGTAGGAGTACTTTTGTACTAGTACAGGTGGTCCTTGAAATACAATCATTCATTTAGTGACTGTACAAAGTTATACTGGCACTGAAAAAAGTGACATGACCATTTTTCATATTTACGGCCATTGCAGTATCCCCATAGTCATCTGATGAAAATTCAGATGCTTGGCAACTAATTCATATTGCAGGTCACTGATCATCTTTTGCAATCTTCTGACAAGCAAAGTTAATGGAGAAGCCAGATTCACTTTACAACCAGATTTATTTCACTTAACAACCATGGCAAGAAAGGTCGTAAAATGGGACAAAACTCACTAACAACTCTCTCACTTGGCAATAGAAATTTTGGGCTCAATTGTGGTTGTAAGTTGTAAGTCAATAGTAGTAACATTGATGTCTGAAATCTGACTTTTTCCTGGCTTTCCACAACAATGGGATCAATTCAGGATATAGTTATTGTCCATATAAAAAAGTTAACTAAAATATTATTTCCGTTAAAAATTCTAACAACATATACTGTAACCAGTTATTGAGTCAGTATTACTATTGGAGAGATATTTGCTCAGAAGTATTTCCTAAGACTCACCTTGATTGTAATGAGTAACTGATCTATGAAGGCTAAAGTATTTCTTTTTTGAATTGCTGCTAATCAGTGAGTCTCTGGGAACTTAATAGAGTAGATCCTTTCTTTGGAGAGCCAAAATAATTGCAGTAAGATTTGAGATCTCGGGATTTGGGGATTCACAAGAAAGCTTCCTTGTCTTTACCTCCACAATGACTCTCAAATTAATTCCAAAAGATTGGCTCACAAAAGAAAAGAGGCCTTGGTGTAGCTCAAAGCCTGAGTCCACATGTTGAATGAATGAAACTGTTATAGTAAGGATAAGGACGTGATGTATAATCATGATAGCCTCTAGAACTTTGAAAAGATTCCTTGATCACTTCATTGTTAACTGGCAAGTTCTAAAGCATGCACATCTGGTTCACAATTCTTGAAATTAATACAAAATGAACAGCAAGTTCTATTTCTTGCTTAGGAAAATCTTTCATCCCATTCTACAGACGCATTCCCTAGACCGGAGGTCCCCAACCTTTTGGGCACCAGGCATCGGTTCTGTAGAGAGGTTTTTCTGTGGACCAAAGGAGGCATGGTTTTGTGTGCTGCCTGCATCCTGTGGAGGGGACTTTGCTTGTTTGTGCGGACCGGTTGCCGGCATGCCATGGCCCAGTACTGGTCCAAGGACTGGAGGTTGGGGACCCCTGCCCTAGACCATTTTATTTGGAACTTCAGTTCTCATGGTACTAATCCTTCCTACTTCTAACCCTATGATCTTCATTTCTTTTCCAGAGGGAAAATCTTGGCTTCCTGATGTTCTTTTCCCAAGCCAAACAGCCAGAAGGGCAAGAATGCTAAAAACAGAAATAAATTTTGTGGGAGCCCCAACATTCCTGCATTCACAGCTAGGGATGAGATTAGTTGAAAAAAGAATAAGAAAGTCTTACACAATTAAAAGAATAGAATAGAATAGAATAGAATAGAATAGAATAGAATAGAATAGAATAGAATAGAATAGAATAGACAGTTGGAAGGGACCTTGGAGGTCTTCTAGGTATAGGCAGGAAACCCTATACCATTTCAGACAAGCGGCTATCCAATCTCTTCTTAAAAACTTCCAGTGTTGGAGCATTCACAACTTGTGAGACAATAATAAATGTTTGAGCATAGTAAATTACTTGTGATTAATTTCTGTACCTTTTGCTACTCACATTTTTTCCCCTGTGTATTAGTCATTTAAATGACTAACTTCTATGTATCTTGATTTTGAATGACTTTTCTATAATACAAGTCCTCAAAACTTTAAAATTATAAACATTTTATAGATGATGGATGGATAGATGGCTAAACTGACAAAAATACATAATGTTCTACCTCCTATTTTCTGCACAATGCTGTGAAGTGAATTGGACTCAGAGAGAATGACTAGCTCAAAATCACCAGTTTAATACCCGGTCCTAAAGGGAGGCCTAGAACTCACAGGGACCAGGTTTCAAACCCAGCAACTGCATCACTGTACCAGACTGGTCCTCATATCTCTTGTTTCTAGAGTCTCTCCTTTTACTATTAAATGTAGGACAACTTCCTTTTCCTTTTATTCTATCAATAAATGTGCATTAAAATGCAAGAATCGTGCTTTCCCTCCTAGATACTCTATTGTATCTCTTCTCTCTTCTCCAATGCAACCAATCATTATGCTGTGACTATTGGAAATGTTTTATCCTCATTGAGGAGTTGAGAAGCCTTCCTCAAAAGTATTTCCCCCCTTTTTTGTATTTATGCAAATCTTAGGAGCTGCATAAGTATACCACCTTGTGCATCCACCCTAGCCCATAAGTGACAGTTTGTAGACTGGGGAAAGCTGCACAATAAAAGGGCTTCCCATGGGCTTTGAGTAGCTCACCAGTGTCTGACAGAAGCGATCATGCTATCCTACTGGAGTTAGGCCAGTAAGGATGGTGGAGGAAAGGGGAGAAGATACTTGTGGCACCAAGACAAGCTAGGGATGACTCAGAGATAGCAATAATTGTTTTTTGGGAGAGCTCAGAAGAGCTGCTTGAAAAGATTTATGAAGGGTTATGATAGGAGACCTGTACTGTATTACTTTATGGAAGCCAAAAAGCAGGATATACATGTAGTCCTTGACTTACCACAGTTCATTTAGTGATTGTTCAAAGTTACAACAGTGCTGAGACGACTTATAACCGTTTTTTACACTTATGACCATTGCACATTCCCCATGGTCACATAATCAAAATTCTCTCTCTCTCTCTCTCTCTCTCTCTCTCTCTCTCTCTCTCTCTCTCTCTCTCTCTCTCTCTCTCTCTCAGAACAACAAATACTCATTTTGTAGAAACACTGAACTTGGTAGAACCTTGTTTCAGTACCATAGTTCTGTAACATTCAATTACAAGACAAACAACATGAAATCACTAAGTATACAGGATATGACATAGTTCCAGGCATCATACCCTTTAGCAGGATTTCTAAAGAATATTTTATCAATTGTTTTCATTACTATTACTCTTGATTCCTGGGTGCAGAGTGTAGTAGAACAATCTGTATTTCTGAAAGGCCATAATAACCAATATGCACTGTACAGAGATGAAATTGTTTGTATCCATGCTAAAATTACCATTTTGATGGAAGCAAAGGAAAGGGGTAACACAGCATTCCATACAGCCATGTTGTCAGACATACTGCACTGTTCTGCCTCTATAATCTGAGTAGGTGACAAAATCTCTACAAAAAGGAGATATCTAAATGTTGGCTACTGTTCAGGAATAATTTCAGACAATTCCAGTATATCTAATAATGACTAATCTTTTGCAAATTGTACAATGGCTGATATTTATTTGGACAGTTTGCAAGTCCATTGGTAGAAGGTTGGCTTCAAATAAATTTGCTACAAAGAGTGTACCAGTCCCTCACCAACACCTCACCATTATTGCCTGGAACTGTTGCCCTTAGATCGTTACTACAAAAAATGTAATAAACTCTTGCCTTTCAAATTCCTGGTGCTGCCTTTCAAATTCCTGGTGCTAGTAATCAGCCAGTATTTCAAAACCCAACTTGTTTTTTTAGATCTCAACCTTATAGGGAGAAAAACTGATTTGGCAGGCTTTTTTTTTTGAAGACATCAATTTCTGTGCTGTTAGTTGCGAAGTCGTGTCTGACCCATCGCGACCCCATGGACAACGTTCCTCCAGGCCTTCCTGTCCTCTACCATCTTCTGAAGTCCGTTTAAGCTCACGCCTACTGCTTCAGTGACTCCATCCAGCTACCTCTTTCTCTGTCGTCCCCTTCTTCTATTGCCCTCAATCTTTCCCAGCATTAGGCTCTTCTCCAGTGAGTCCTTCCTTCTCATTAGGTGGCCAAAGTACTTGAGTTTCAACTTCAGGATCTGGCCTTCTAAAGAGCAGTTAAGGTTGATCTCCTCAGGACTGACTGGTTTGAGCGCCTTGCAGTCCAGGGGACTCCTAGGAGTTTTCTCCAGCACCATAGTTCCAAGGCCTCCATTCTTTGGCACTCAGCCTTTCTTATGGTCTAACTTTCACAGCCATACTTTGCAACTGGGAAAACCATGGCCTTGACTATACGCACTTTTGTTGGCAGGGTGATGTCTCTGCTTTTTAGTATGCTGTCTAGATTTGCCATAGCTTTCCTCCCCAGGAGCAAGCATCTTTTATTTCTTGGCTGCAGTCCCCATTTGTGGTGATCTTGGAGCCCAGGAATATAAAATTTGTCACTACATCCATTTCTTCCCCATCTATTTGCCAGGAATTGAGAGAGCCGGATGCCATGATCTTGGTTTTCTTAATGTTAAGTTTCAAGCACACTTTTGCACTCTCCTTCTTCACCTACATCAAGAGGCTCTTTAGTTCCTCTTCGCTTTC